GTGGCAACCACCGACGGCGAGAGCCTGAGCAAGTCAATCTGCTCGCCCGTCGAGAGAACAATGAGGCGCGCTGATCTCGCTTCCCATCCCAGATCCCCACAAGCAATCACAAAGACGTGCGCAGGGGACGTCGCCCTCGACCACGGGCGACTGGTGGTGGCAAGTGAGCGAACAGCGTCCTCAAAAACTGCCTGCAGGATCGTTAAGCTGGGGAGTCCATCCCAGACAGCCCGAGCCCATTCAAAAACAACCTGCTTGAAATACAACGGAACGGGGTCCATGGTTTTACCCTGCTTAAAAGTGCGGAGTTTCAAACCCATAGACGCCCCCTTCTTAGCAGGAGCCAGAGACAGGAGGGCCTGAGTGCGGATCCTGGAGGAGGAGGAGCAGGAGGAGGAGGAGGCGGAGGGGGAGGAGGAGAGGGGGGGGAGGAGGTGGGGGCCGATAACGGCAGGGCAGACCTGGCGAAGGACCCAACCATATGCAATTGTGAGTAACGCGTTGTGGGTGCCGCTTTCGGTGGGCCCCGAAACGCGTGAGGGGCGTGCCGTAATGGGTTGTGGGAACGCAAGCGGGCGGTCCCACTGGGGCCTTCGGTGGAGCTCTCTGTGGCGCCGCGAAACGCTGTACTGGGTGGGGGGGGGGCGCGTGCGGGCGGTGCCACTAGGGCCTTCGGTGGAGCCCCCTGTGGGGCCACGAAACGCTGTGCTGAGTGGGGGGGGCGCATGCGGGCGGTCTCACCGGGGGGCTTGATGATGACGATGATGATGATGATGATGACGATGATGATGACGACGACGACGACGACGACGACGACGAAGATGACGATGCCGACGATGCCGAGAGGAGGAGGAGGATGAGGGAGAAGGGGAGAGGAGGGAGGAGAGAGCAGGGAGGAGGAGGCAGGAGGAGGAGGAGGAGGCTCGCGTGCTGCCAGCTCGGCTGGAGTCCTCGGCTGACGGCGCAGAAAACTGGCCAGCTTGGACCCGGCGCAGCGGCCGCTGGCGCGATGCCAGCCGAGGCGGCGCAGGCACGGTGGGAGCCTTCGGAGGAGATGCAGCGGCCCAGCGACTTCGTCAAGCTCCTCGTCACAAAGTTCGAGGACGGCGTGGTCAACCCGAGAACGGGGCGGCAGGAGCCCCGCCCTCTGAAGCCAGACCAGGCCCTGTTCGTCACGGCGTTCGCGAACGCCTGCAACGTGGTGTGGGACGAGGAGCAGAAGATCGAGGACGGCAGCATGGCCAAGCACGCCAAGCGGAAGACGTTCCAGTTCCTGCTCCTCGGCCAGGGCGGCAGCGGGAAGACCGCCATGGTGCAGGAGATCGTGCTGCCGGCCATGGACGCACTGTTCCCTGTGGAACCGGGCAAGGCGAAGTCCACGCAGATAGTCTGCGCGAAGTGGTCGCAGGCCGCGAACATCTCCACGGACGCTCATAAGGCCGTCAGTTACCACCGAGCGGGAGTCATGAGAGCGCAGTCCTTCAGGAACAAGGACATACCCGCGGGGGGCAAGCTGAAAGCGCTACAGGACACGTGGGAGGCGGTCAGGTGCTTGATCCTGGAGGAGGTGAGCATGATCTCGCCCAACTTGTACAACATGCTCGCCTTCCGGTCCTACCTGGGACGCAAGGCCGAGTGGGGCGCGGAGGAGCGGGAGTGCGACCAGGTCGGCGGAGCCTTCGGCCGGATGCCGATCGTGATCCACCTGGGAGACTTCTTGCAGCTGAAGCCGACGGGAGGCAAAGTGTCCCTCATCTCCAGCTTCGAGGAACTGGCGAAGGCGGGCATCAACCTCGCTCCAGAGTACCAGGCCGTGATGAAGCTCTTCTGCAACACGCCGCTGTGCTTCGAGCTCCAGGCGTCCAACCGCTTCAAAGACCCGAAGCTTCGTGATCTCATGGCGTTCTTGCGCAAGCCGGGGAAGCAGGTCCCGCCGGCCATCCGCGCCACGTGGAACGCCATGCAGTTGAAACCCGATGATCGCCGGCTCCGGGAGGAAAGGTTCCAGAACGGCCACATGATTGGGTCTTACTGGGACACTGTGGCGCGGTGGATGAACATGCGTTCCCAGCGGGGCGCGGACGTCCTGAAGAAGCCCCTCTTCCTCGCGCATGCCGCCGACAGGTCTGCCCCGACGATGAATGTCAAGGACGCCGCCAAGATGATGAACTGTGCCAACCCGAAGAACACCGGTGGCATGCACGGACTGCTCTGTGCACGTCGGCATGCGGATCCGGCTCCTGGAGGCGCTCGACCTCAAGAACGGCCTCGTCAAGGACGCCGAGGGCCAGATCGTGCGCATCGTCGTGGACCCTCGAGATCGGGACGCAGTCGACAATGCCGAGAGAGACGGGGAGAAGAGGGTCTATCTGAAGCACTTGCCGCTGGGGTTCTGGGTGCGCATGGAGAAGTACGCGAGCGCGCCCTTCGTGGACGACCTGAGGCGCCACGACGACAGCCTCACGGGGGACCTCACGGGCCCGCTGGTGTTCATCGAGCCCCGTGCGTCGGAGCCGTTCACCTTCCGCACCTCCAAGGTCACCCGGACGGACTTCCCGTTTTCGCACGGCAGGGCCATCACCACGGTGGCGTGCCAGGGGCGCACCATGCGGGAAGGCGACGGGGCAGGGGAACGGCGCCGCCGGGCAGTCTACGGCCGAACCTTTCGGGCCGAGCGGTCCGCAGCCAGACCTTCTCTCGGTCTCGTGGACTCTCGCCCTGGGCCTTCGGCTTTCCGGCGCGCTGCTCCCTCGGCCGACATCGCCCAGGCGTGATCCTGGACTGCGGCCGCCACGAGGTGGGGAACGGCAAGAAGGAGGACGGCGACTGGTGGCTGGAGCTCTACGTCCTGCTCTCGCGCGCCACGCGCCACGAGGACCTCCTGCTCATGCGGGCGCCGCGCATCGAGTTCTTCCTGGCAGGGCCGCCGGAGGGCTTGCGGAAGCAGCTGGAGCAGTTTGCTGCGCGCACGAGGCGGTGCAGAAGGGAGGCGACGGCCCTCGCCAGGGAGCTGGGCTTCACCGAGTTTATCCGCGAGGCTTGACCTGAGGAGCGGCCCGCCCGAGCCTCGCCGTCTCTCGACGGTCTGACTGTTTGGCTTCGCGCCGCGGGCAACCTGCGCGCGTCGCTGGGACCCTCTCGGGGCGACCAGCGCGCGTCCCGGGAATTTCGCGCTGCGCTCTGACCAGAGCCTCGCTCGCCCCCGTCGTCTCTCTGCCCAGCGGCCACAGGCTTGCCCGCTATCAGCCAGCCTGCTCGCTCTCCCCGCTGCGCACAGCGGACGACCTGCGCGCGTCGCCGGGACCCCTTCGGGGCGACCAGCGCGCGTCGCGGGGATTCCGTGCGGCGCCGCGCCAGCAGCCATGGACATCGGCGCGCACAGGCAAAGATGCAGAGAAGAAAGGGAAGGAAGCGGGCGCGATCCTCGGGAGGAGCGTCCACATTTATGTACGTAGACTGATTCGCACGCAGACTCATTCACAATCAGACTCACTCGCGCTCAGGCTCACCCGTTCTTAGCCTCTCGCACTCAGACCGACCGTCTTTGTTCGTATTGTGTACCCCGTGACGAATTTCGGCACGCCCCTCACACGGTTCGTGGCCCCATAGGGAGCGCGAGTGAAGATGGTATTCGCAATTGCGGTATTCACAACTGCACATGGTTGGGTCCTTCGTCAGGCTATTTTTTTTGTTTTTTTTGTTTGTCCTTAGTTTTTTTTTTTGTTTTTCGGTGGTCTGCCTTTGATTTCTTTGGTTCTTTGTTTGTTTGTTCCTTAGGTTTCTTTGGTTTTGCACCCCCCTCCGCCAGGCCCCCGCGGGGGGCGGACGGCTCCGGACGCCCCCAGGAGGCCCCAGGACACCCCTGGAGGCACCAGAGAGGCACCAAGGAGGCCCCAGAGATGTCCCAGAGACGCTCCTGCAGAGGACCCAAAAGGGAACCCAGCAAGGGACCCAGGAGGAGACCCAGGAGGGAACCCAGGAAGGGACCCAGGAGGGAACCCACGAGGGTACCCAGGAGAGAACCCAGGAGGGGACCCAAGAAGGAACCCAGGAGGGGACCCAAAAGGGAACCCAGCAAGGGACCCAGGAGGAGACCCAGGAGGGAACCCAGGAAGGGACCCAGGAGGGAACCCACGAGGGTACCCAGGAGAGAACCCAGGAGGGGACCCAAGAAGGAACCCAGGAGGGGACCCAGGAGGGAACCCAGGAAGGGACCCAGGAGGGAACCCAAAAAACAGGTTACCATCACTGTGCCCGAACACAAGGCCACATGGTTGCACGCCTGTTACGCAAGGACACCAGCAACGGCTCAGCATCAGTGGTGATACCACACAACAAACCAAAACTTCAACACTGCAAAGCGCTTCCATGGCGTTACTCTGGAGGGCATCCGAAAAACGGATGCCCCTCCGTGGCGGACGCGGACCCAGGAGGGAACCCCAAAAACGGGTTCCCATCACTGTGCTCGAACACAAGGCCACATGGCCGCACGCTTGTTACGCAACGACACCAGCAACGGCTCAGCATCAGTGATGACACCACACCACAAACCAAGTCTTCGACACTGCAAAGCGCTTCCACGGCGCTACTCTGGAGGGGCATCCAAAAACGGATGCCCCTCTGTGGCGGACGCGGACCCAGGAGGGAACCCCAAAAACGGGTTCCCATCATTGTGCCCGAACACAAGGCCACATGGTCGCACACTTGTTACGCAACGACACCAGCAACGGCCCAGCATCAGTGATGACACCACACCACAAACCAAGTCTTCGACACTGCAAAGCGCTTCCACGGCGCTACTCTGGAGGGGCATCCAAAAACGGATGCCCCTCTGTGGCGGACGCGGACCCAGGAGGGAACCCAAAAACGGGTTCCCATCATTGTGCCCGAACACAAGGCCACATGGTCGCACACTTGTTACGCAACGACACCAGCAACGGCCCAGCATCAGTGATGATACCACACCACAAACCAAGATTTCAACACTGCAAAGCGCTTCCATGGCGTTACTCTGGAGGGCATCCGAAAAACGGATGCCCCTCCGTGGCGGACGCGGACCCAGGAGGGAACCCAAAAAACGGGTTCCCATCACTGTGCTCGAACACAAGGCCACATGGCCGCACGCTTGTTACGCAACGACACCAGCAACGGCTCAGCATCAGTGATGACACCACACCACAAACCAAGTCTTCGACACTGCAAAGCGCTTCCACGGCGCTACTCTGGAGGGGCATCCAACACGGATGCCCCTCTGTGGCGGACGCGGACCCAGGAGGGAACCCAAAAAACGGGTCCCCATCATTGTGCCCGAACACAGGGCCACATGGTCGCACACTTGTTACGCAACGACACCAGCAACGGCCCAGCATCATTGATGATACCACACCACAAACCAAGATTTCAACACTGCAAAGCGCTTCCACGGCGCTACTCTGGAGGGGCATCCCAAAAAACGGACCCAGGAGCGTGAACAAAGGCGGGGCCACTACGGCGCGCGCAGGGCCGCGCAGGACCACCAAGCTGGTGCGGAAGCAGATCCTGAAGCGATTGCCAGCGCGGACGGTCTACAACACCCAGCAAGTGCAGAAGGGCTCCTTCAAGCTCAAGAGCAAGCCGATGAAGGGGCCGATGAAGAGGCCGATGAAGAAGCCGATGAAGAGGGCCCCCCCGCGGAAGAACGTAGCCATTCGTAAGAGGCCCGCCGCCAACTTGAAGAGCAACGGCCGCTGGCTCTGGATCGCCGTACTCGTGGGCAACAAGTCCGACGTCTACACGCACCAGGACCTCAGGAAGAGGGTGACGTACAAGCTCCTGCCGCGCAAGGCCGACGCCCACAATGGCGAGCCGCGGGGTCTCGAAGAGATCAAGGAGGCGTTGGTGAGCCGCGTGCGCAAGAAGTCGATGGTCGTGTCCGACGGGTGGACCTCAACGCGTTCAGCCCTTGGGAAACTAGGTTTCGAGAGCCCCCCCGCGGTGGTTCACGAGGGCAACCAGTACAGGGACAAGAAGACTGGATTCCACACCAACGACGTGGAGTCGGAGAACGCTCGCGCCAAGGGATGGTCACGCAAGCGTTACGGCCACCTCCACCTGAGCGAGGCAGAGATGGACGAGTACGTCTTCTACGTCAACGTCGGCGGCGCGGGGCCTGGCCGCGTCCAATGACGTCGTCGCGCGCAACGCCGCGATCTGAGGACGCCTGCACAATGCGCAGAGCATTGGCGAACGCAGTGAGAAGCGGGCACGGCTGGGGCCTTGCTCGCGAGAGAAAAGTGTTCGCGGATGCAGAGGCGGCGGAGTAGGATGGAGAAGAAGGAGGAGAAGTGGGGAAGAGGGGGAGATCGGAGGAGCGAAACGGAGCCTGTACTTCTGCTCAGTTTTTCAGGGGGGCGGGGATACGGCAGAGCCCACATATATATATATATATATATATATATATATATGTGGGTGCGTGTTTGTCTGTCTGTCTGTCTGCCTCCCTGCCTGTCTGCCTGTCTGTCTGTCTGGCTGTCTGTCTGTCTGTCTGTCTGTCTGCCTGCCTGTCTGTCTGTCTGTCTGTCTGGCTGTCTGTCTGTCTGTCTGTCTGTCTGTCTGTCTGTCTGTCTGTGTGTGTGCGTGCGTGCGTGCGTGCGTGCGTGCGTGCGTGCGTGCGTGCGTGCGTGCGTGCGTGCGTGCGCGCGTGCGTGCGTGCGTGTGTGTATATATATAGACACACACGGCCACTCCTGGATCTCTGGGGGCCCCCCTTGGAGCCCTCTTTGGGCTCTCCGTAACGGCATTTGAGGGCCCCGAGAGGGCCTCAATAGGGCCCCAAGAAGGGCACTCACGTGACTTCGGTTTGACTCCTCCTGGGCCCTCCTTGGAGCCTTATTGGGGCCCTGCGAGACGGCACTGGAGGTGGAGGAGGAGGAAGCAGTGAGGAGGAGGAGCAGGGAGGAGGGGGAGGACGAGGAGGAGGAAGGATGGCGAGTTGGACGAGGACGAGGAGGAGGAAGGATGGCGAGTTGGCGAGTTGGTCGCGTGCCTCTATTTCGACTGGGGGTTGACCCCCTTGGAGCCCTCGTGGGGGCCCTCTTAAAGCATTTTCGGGGCTCTCCAGCGTGGTCTCTCACGCACGCACGCACGCACGCACGCACGCACGCACGCTCACACACGCACGCACGCACGCACGCACGCACGCACGCACGCACGCACGCACGCACGCTCGCTCACGCTCACACACACACACAACACACACAACATAACACAACACAAACACGCGCAGACACACACACACACTAACACACACACACACACTAACACACTAACACACGAATACACTAACACACGAACACACTAACACACACACACACTAACACTAACGCACACACACACTAACACACACACACACACACGCGCGCACGTACGCCATACACTTCCGCGCGCACCCATACACACGCACACATCGTCACATGCATACAGGCCCATGCAGACGTTCACGTGCACGCATCCACGCCACCTTCGATTGAATGTCGTGGACTGTTTGAAGCTGGTCTTCTCAGCTCTACTATGGTCGCCACTTCGTGCTTTACAAATAGATACTGTCGCTCAAAAATAGATGCTAAATAGATAATAGTTAGACACGCAAATCTTGCAACACAGCCGATGCACAAAAATATGTTTAGACACTGTCCGAAATAGATACTTTTAGATATTATGACCACCGGGCCTCAGCGGGAGCACGATCATTTCTAACAGCGTCTATTTCCAAAACATAGATACGAATAGATACTGTGTGCAAGGCGCCTCAACGGGAAGCTCTGAATTTCTAAAAGTGTCTATTCTTGTTTCCGGCTGTCTACCAGGGTCGGAGCGGTCGGAGCTCCGGGCCTGGCCCGGGGTGCCCCCAGCAGCTTCGCTCCTGCTTGGAGGTCCTGGGCCCCCCGGGCATCGCCTCAGGTCGGGCACGCCCTCCTGCGTGCGGGTTCTGGAGGAAGAGCGGAGCATCTTCAAGGAAAGCTCAGACATGCAGAGAGGCATGCCCGACTGGAGCCTCGTGGAGGGGGCTCCGGAGGCCGTGGGGGACTCCTTGGAAATCCCGGGGAGGCACCTTGGGGCCAGGGTTATGTCGGGCGTGTCCCCCCACAGGGGGATTTTCGACGAAAAAACAAAAATACCCAACAAATACTCCAAAAAGGCTAAAAGATACTCGGAAAAAAGTCCCCCGACGATTTTTGAACTATTGTTTTTTGACGATTTTGGAGGGTATTTCTTTTATTTCTCGTCGACAACCCACCTGTAGGGGGGACACGCCCGACCTAAGGCCAGGGGCACTTCGAGCCGCGCCCGCTCGCCGAGGCGCGCGAGGGACGCGGGCGCGACGGCTCGGCGGCGCGCCCAGGGGGGGGGACCCAGCCCTCGGGCGCGGGGCCGCCGATGGCGGCGGCTCGGGGGGGATGTCTCGGGAGCCCTGGTCGCTCCCTGGAAGCTTCCGACCAGCGGCGGGGTGCTGCCCGGCAGCGGCGCCTCGACCAGGGCGCTCCGGGGGTGCCAGGTTCGCCTCGAACGGCAGCAGGAGTCCCAGAGATCCGACGTCGTGATTTTTTCAATGCGGGGTCCCCGGAAGTCTCGACCCATTCCCCAAGACCGGTTTTTCATCCTGAGTCGTTTTTTGACGGTCCCGAGGCTCGTCGAGGGCCCCTAGGGGCCGAAATTTGCAAAAAAAATCCGTCGTGATTTTTTCAATACGTTGGATCTCGGAGTATGACCCGAAAGCCCAGATCCACATCGACGTGGTGGTTGTCTCAACCTGCGGGTTTTCCTGGACCTCGGCCCTCGGGGAGCCGTTTTCGGGCCCCGCTAGGCGCTCAAGAACGAGCCCGGAACCGAAGAAACTGCCGAAGAAACTACCCCCTGACTCCGGATCCTCCCTACTTTGGCTTTTTTTTCCAGCTTCAGACTGCGTCGGAAATCCACATCTGAGAAGCCGAAAAAGTAGGGCGGAAATTTCCGCCCCCAAGAAGCAAGGCTGATGGCTTCGCCTTACTTTTTGACGCTTCTGGTCAAGTCCAGTAGGGCGGAAATTGGCATCGCCAAGGCTTGAAAAGAAGGAAGGAGGAGCAGGAGGAGGAAGCAGGAGGAGGAGGAGGAGGAACAGGAGGAGCAGGAGGAGGAGGAGGAGGAGCAGGAGGAGGAGGAGGCCCAATGTGCGAAAGTGCCCAGGGTGGGGCGGAGCTGGAGTCGGGGCCCCACGGAGGCGGTCGGGGCGGGGCCTCTGCAGAGCCGGGGATCGAAGCAAGCAGGAGGCAGCGGGGGGAGACCTCCGACGCCTTGGGCAGAGAACCGCACCAAGCTCGGGAGCGGCCAAGAGGGGGGTGTCCAAGAGGGGGGTGTGCAAATCATGACCGGCGGCATGTGCGCGGCCCAGCGGGGGGGCCTGGGACGTAATAGAATAAGAAGAGGCGCCATGAGATCTGAGGAGAAATCATGGCCCGCGCCATGAAATCCACCCCCCCCTAGTTATCACCCCCCTCTTTTCCGCTCCCGAAGAAAGGTGCTTCAGTGTTCCCGCTTGGGGGGCCCTCGCCGGGCCCCCGGGACCGCCGACAAAACGGCCCGGGGGATGAAGCTGCCGGGCCCAGGGCAAGGGTCGGAATTTCCGAGGAACGCGCATTGAAAACAACATCTCTAGAAGAAGAAGAATAATAATAATACTAATCAGACAATTAAGACTAATAGTACCAATAATAATAATAATAGTAATAATAATAATAATAGTAAGAAAAATAATCATAAACAGTCAGAAAAATAATCATAATGCGAATAACAAACAGAAGCGCCACAAACATAATGTGTGGCGCTCCGCGCGGATTTCTTGGATCTGCGCTGGACCCCCAACCCTGGCGCGCGAAGCGCGCCAGGGGCGGCGCTGGAGGCGCCGCCAGGGCGCTCCCGCGCAGATCCAAGAAACCCGCGCGGAGCGCCACAAGCTCATTTTTATAGCGTTCCCCTTCTTCTGGCGCTTTCCTCGGCGAGGACCATCGGGAAACATCCTGGACCATCTTGCAACAAAACGCACGCACGGCGCCAGAACAACGTACGGGGAATGGCGTTGTTTTCTTCTTCGAACCCAGACATCGGACGTCGGAAGCCGGCGGTGGCTTCTCCGAGGCCCCGCCGCGCACTCTTGTCCGCAGCCACGGGCGGCCTCGCACAGAGGCGCCAAGGACCTCCGGTCGGGGGAGCTCCGCCTCCGCCCGAGCACGCCGCCCCCCTTCCTTACTGTTAAGTTGGGCCTGTCCCCCTACAGAGGGATTTCCGACGAAAGATAAACAAGGTACCAAAAGTAATCAAACAATGGTCCAACAATAGTCTGGGGACTATTCTTGGAGTATGTTTTGACCTTTTTGGGGTAGTTGTGGGGTATGTTTCATTTGTCCTCGAAAGTCCCCCTGTAGGGGGACACGCCCGACTTACCTCACCGTCGCTCGGGCGTCCATCCCCCCTGCGTTTTTTTTGAGGGCGTCGTGCGCGCGTTTTTTGCTGCAGGAGGGTCCAGGCTGCTCCTCGCTGGTCCTCGCCGAGGACAGCACCGGAAGAAGAAACAACGGCATGCACATACATAGGAGGCCACAAGCAAACCCTGCCCCTACCCCCCCCACGGCTTCTGAGGGGGGGGGTATAGGGGTAGGGCTCGCTCGTGGCCCCCGAAGGAACGCGCCACAGGTTCATGTTCATGGTGACTTTTCCTTCTTGTGATCGATGGGAGGCACCGAGACATACTAGTACTATATGTCCTCCGTGGAGGCGAGCGTCCGACCCGAACACATAGTATACCCGTCTTGTAGTATATCGTTTCCCGAGCGGTGTGGCCAGGAAAAGCACGCCACGACGCACATACTACAAGATTTCTCGGTGCGCGCGCCGCCCCCGGGGGGGCGACGCACATATAGAGAGGTCCTCGCCGAGGAGAACATACACGTCCGAGCGGTGCCCAGCCTCGGCCTCCCCTCCCGGGCGGGCCGCCGCATGGCGTCCAGGAGCGGGGGGTCGCGGCGCGGGAGCGCCGCGAACGCCCAGGCCGTGTTCGCGAGCTCCTGCCGGTCTGCGCGGGGGAACCTCAAACGGCTCGTGGTTGCCCTGCACACGGCGCGGCGCACGTGTCGCTCGGAATGGGACGCACAGGGACATACCAATACTATATGTCCTCATTAGAGGCGCGCGTCCATGCCGAACATGTAGTATGCCCGTCTTGTAGTATATCGTTTCCCGAGCGGTGTGACCAGAAAGCGCCCGCCACGACGCATATACTATCAGATTTCTCGGTGCGCGCGTCGCCCCTAGGAGGGCGACGCACATATAGTATGAATATGTTGGGGTGGCGCCGACGGAAGTGATTCGCCCGCCTCCCACTCCTCCTCCGGCACGGCGAGTCGACCTGCGTGAACGATGCGACGACTCGGGCGCGCCTAAAAGTGCGCGGTGACGACGGCGACGCATCGGTCGGCGAGCGAATGGGCCACTTCCCAGACCGACCATGTGCAGGGCAACCATCAGCGGATTGAAATTCCACGTCGGCGCTACGAAAGCTTTGACCCGCTTCGTGCTTCCAACTAGACACGTCTTAAACGGGAACGCCATTGCGAATTCAAGCTGAAGAAGTGCCGACCTCTATTTTCGAGGAGCTCCTGGGCGGGAGCGCTATGTCGAAATTGAACCCAAGGGCGTCGAATTCCAGTTAGCAAGAAGTCCCGGGCGGGAACGCCATTTCGAAATCGAACCCGGAAAGATCCGATTTTTTGTTCGGGGGAAGTCCTGGGCAAGAGCGTCACTTCGAAATCGAACCAGAATGGCTTCGAATTCTAGTTCGGAGGGAGTCTTTGGCGGGAGCGCCATTCGAAATCAAACTCGAAAGTTCCGAAATCTTTCGAAATTGTTTGAGTGAGGAAGTCTCAAGCGACACCGTGGTTTCGAAATGGCGACACCATTTGGCATTTTGAATGTTCAATCTCTGACCAGAGATTTCGAAGGTGTGGTTGTCGCATGAAAAATCTCCTCCAAAAAACGATCTCGACTGGATTTCGAAACCATCGGGCTCGAATTCGAAAAGGCTTTTCCGCACGAGGCTTGAGCAAAACAATGCTTGAACAAAACATTGTCCTGGGGCCCCGCGGTCTAATGGGCCCCTCCAATGTCTCCTCCTTTGCCGCGGGCGCAATGCCACTGACAACGTCGTATCCTGGCCCCGTCGCCTCACTGGAGGCGCTGCATTTTGGCTCATCTTTTTCAGCGGTGAAGTAGAGAAAGAGAAAAAACTGCAGAACCATAATTTTGCGAAACTCCGTGCGGATTTCTTGAACCTGCGCTGGAATCCTCTTCCTGGCGCGCGGTGCGCGCCAAGGGCGGGCCCAGCGCAAATCCAAGAAATCCGCACGGAGCTCCGAATGTAAACCACCCTTTGGTGAAAACGGCCTGGGACCGAAACCGACGGACCTGGACCCCCAAAATTGACGGACCAATCCGCGAATCGACGCGTCAGGGTAGGAGGTATAATCACCTCGGACTATTTTCAATGTGTGCAGTCTTCTCTTCTTCTTTAAGTCTACGATCAAGTCGGGCCTGTCCACCGACATGGGGATTTTGGAGGAAAAATAAACTATCGCCAACAAATACCCCAAGATAGTCAAAAATGCTCAAACAATCGTTCCCTGACACTCTTTTTCCTATTTTTGAATTCCCCCCCCTGCAGAGGGACAGGCACGACGTAAGGCTGCCAGCAGGAGCGACCCCAGGCAAGGGCGACCTCGGATGCGCGGCGTCCAGGGCCCGCGGGGCAGCGGAGCCCGAGCGCGCATGCAGCGCCCGCACCAAGCTCGGGAGCGGCCAAGAGGGGGGCGTCCAAGAGGGGGGGGTGCAAATCATGACCGGCCGCATGTGCGCGGCCCAGCGGAGGGGCCAGGGACGTAATGAAACAAGAAGAGGCGCCATGAGATCTGGGGAGATATCATGGCCCGCGCCATGAAATGCCCCCCCCCTAGTTATCACCCCCCTCTTTTCCGCTCCCGAAGAAAGGTGCTCCAGTGTTCCCTCTCGGGGGGCCCTCGCCGGGCCCCCGGGACCGCCGACAAGACGGCCCAGGGGATGAAGCTGCCGGGCCCAGGGCAAGGGTCGGAATTTCCGAGGAACGCGCGGCCCAGCGGAGGGGCCAGGGACGTAATGAAACAAGAAGAGGCGCCATGAAATCTGGGGAAATATCATGGCCCCCGCCATGATATCCACCCCCCCCTAGTCATCACCCCCCTCTTTTCCGCCCCCGACAAGCCTTGAGATCCGACGCAGCGGAAAAACTGCGGCATCGTGAACAATCACGCCAGGAATTCTGGTGCTCCCATCGAACTTACCAGCCACGTCCCAAAAGCCATCTCGAGCACCCAGAGAAGAGTATCGAAACAACGTCGAACGAGTCTCGCCTCCCAGGGCCCGACGCGTGGAAACCTTCCGATGTCGGTGCTTTGCCGGTGCTCGAAAGGCGTCCTGGTGATCAAAGCTACAAGCAGGGTTGGAAAATCACAGGCCTGGAAGCCTCAGCCCGTCCTTCTGCGCCCTTTGGTTCAACAACGGCTCGATCCGCCTCGGCCCCCGGGGCCCGCATGGAGGCGAAAGCGCCTGGCCCGAGAACACTGACGCGCCAGGATCTCAGGGTTAAGTCGGGCCTGTCCCCCTACGGGGGGATTCTCGACGAAAACTAAAAAAATACTCCACAGATAATTAAAAAAATCCAACAATACTCTGGGAACTATTTTTGAACATTGTTTGACCATTTGGGGGCATGTTTTCTGTATTTTCTATTTTTCGTCGAAAATCCCCCCTGTAGGGGGGACACGCCCGACATAATCTCAGGGAAACCCCGCGGTCCGACGTCGTCGAGAACATGCAGCCTCGCGAGAAAACACGACCGAAGCCCGAGACGCCCCATCCGTCTGCGGCCAGGCCCGAGACCGGGCGAGGGCGCCGGGCGCGGCAAAGCTGCAGCAACCCGGCGAGGGAGGAGGAGGAGGAGGAGGAGGAGGAGGAGGAGGAGGAGGAGGAGGAGGAGGAGGAGGAGAGGAGGAGCTGAGGAGGGAAGGAGGAAGAGGAGAAGGGAGGAGGGGGAGGAGGAGGGAGGAGAGGAGGAGGAGGAGGAGGAGGAGGAGGAGGAGGAGGAGGAGGAGGAGGAGGAGGAGGCGGAGGAGAAGGAGGAGGCGGAGGAGAAGGAGGAGGAGGAGGAGCAGGATGAGGAGGACCAGCGCCTGGGACTTCAACGCTTCACGATCCTGTTTCGTGCCGGACCACCATTCCTGAGACTTCAACACCACGAATCAACGTAACTGCTGCACCCTGACAGTCCGACGTTGACCATCGGACGCCTTGAAACTGCTGTAAACTCATAGAACGAATGCTCGCGACGCTACGGCGAAGGCCACATTTGATAAGGAACCGCCCTCCATCCGTGAAGCCCTTGAAACTCGCAAGGCGAATACGCGCGGCGCGTAGGCGAAACCCACATTTCGAAACCAGCCCGCCCTCTATCCGTGAATCCCTTGCATTTTTACAACGCGAGCGCGCGGTGTTCAGGCGATAAATATAATTTTAAAAATACCCGCCCTCCATCAGTGAAGCCCCTCCGAACTTTTTAAACACCTGTGCGCGGGGCGAAAGACACATTTTGAAAACCACCCGCCCTCCATCCGTGAAGCGGTTGCAGATTTGGAAGCTTCACGATCGTAGACAA